CGAACAAATGGGGTAAAGTTTTGGAAACATTAAAAAACCTTCGTATTCCTCTTTCGGAATCTGTGCTGTGTGGCCTTGCTGTAAGGTAGCAAGAGTGGTGAATGTTTCATTGTGTAAATGGCGAAGACCCGGCTGTTTTAGGACTAAACTGGTATTGTTGAGGTATGCACTTGAGTACTATTTTGTTTAACAGTACCGTAGTTAAAGTCTCGTGGTCGTATATTCATCAGACCTTACTAGCAACAGGTCAATCACCATGTGGTAAATCTCCCAGACAAAATTGACACTGGGTCTATTTGCAGTCTCTGGAACTTATCGATGCTCGCCGGCATATTCCGGCTGGAAGCAACCACAGTGAAACTCGCAAAGAGCTCCGGGCAAAACTCCGTGCTAGCCTGAAGAGAGACCGCGAATCCTGGTGATCTCATCGTGCATCAGAGATAGAAATGGCCGCTGCCCTTGGTAACCATCATAAGTTATTCCGTCTGATACGGGAAACGGGCAGCAGGAGACCTGGTATTAGTGAAACTATACGTGACGAGAGTGGACAGCCAATCCACAACTTATCAAACCGCTTAGAGCGTTGGGCTGAGCACTTTAAAAGGCAATTTAATCGGTCAGAATGGTCAGATTTCTCGCCGGCCACTGATCGCCCTGCTCCCTGGACTGTCGCTTTGGATCCACTCTCTCGCTCAGAAGTCGAACGTGAGATCGAACCGTTGAAATTGAATAAAGCCGCGGGACCATATGATCCTCCTCTAGCCCTCTTCAAATTCGGGGCACCTGCTCTTGTGGATAATTTACACGAGTTACTAGTGACTGTCACAACCGATCGGAGCCGCTCGGTCCTGTCTCAATCTCCAAAGGATGCTCGCATTCGGAATGCGGCAGGCACAGTCAAATCAGTCTGATCCATATCGCCACCAAATTGCTTGCATCTGTAATCCTTCACAGACTAACTAGCACTTGTGAAAGTCAGATTCGTGAGGAGCAAGCCGGGTTTCGTCGTGGTCGAGAATGCATCGACCACATATTCACATTGTGTCAATTGTTGGAGTGCCGTAACATATATTGGCGACCCACCGTTGTCGCGATTTTCGACACCAAAGATGCCTTCAATTCTCTGGATCGAAGTGTCCTATGGAATTGTCTACTAAAGAAAGGTGTACCCGAGAAGTGTGCAAATATTAGGCGAGCGCTTTACGCGCGCAGCTCGGGCAGAGTGAGGTCATATGCCAAGCTGTCGCCGCCCTTCAATACCCCCAGCAGCGTAAAAGAAGGACGCCCGCTGTGACCTTTCCTTTTCAACTTAGCTACTGACGAAGCCAAGGAGATCGTGTTCACAGGACAAGACTTAAATGTGGAATTGCTCCCAGATGAACGACTTCTTGACTTGGAGTATGCAGACGATATTGCCCTCATATGTGACAACACGAGGCACTTTTGCTAAGCATCCCCACCTACGGCGCCGCTGGGATATCACTCCCTGAAAAGTAGAGTAGCCAATGTAGCCGCACGTTTGACCCTACTGTACAATTGTGAAACCTGGCCCCTTAGATCAACGGACATAAAGCGACTAGTTACGTTCGACCAACAGTGTCTTCACAGTTTGGCTCATATCTGGTGGGAACACAGTGTGATCCATGAGGGTGTTCGAAGCCCTATTTATGGCGCAGGAAGAAGTGAATCGCTCAGCACCGTTATTTCACGCACCAAGCTCCGATGGGATGGCTGTATTGCGTATGTCAGCTCACCGACTTTCGCGACGTGTTGGTTGCGCGCAAGCGGTGCGGATGTGAGAAGAGGTGGCCAAGCGATGACTTGGACAAAAGGAATGAAGGCCCTTACTTCGCAGTTGGAGACTCTCGGCGCCCTGGTTAGGGAACGAAAGACGATGAACACTCTTGTTTGGATACACCTGTTGACATGGCTAAGAGCAGGCCTCTATGGCGTTTGTGTTGTGAGTTCCTTTGTTCATCCCCTCACGCTTAGCCTCCCCCTCCAAACACGATCTCAATTAATAGGCCTATAACTTTCTGAGGCACAATAGCCGGCTGTTAACTCTTCGGAACGATGTCTATCCGTTATTGGCGACTCAACCGGAGTGCCGCAGTTTCACATTTTTCTATTCTTTCGTATTGCGGCACCATGGCTGAGGTGTTTTCCACCTGCACCTGAGTTGTGTAATGAAGTGTTGATGGCTAGCTTTCTTGGTTGGACTCGAGAGATTTTACACGTCATTCGAGCCCCAAGCGAATAAGTCACTTGCATAACAACTAGCATATTTGCGAACCATTGTTCATAGATTTGTCATTTGGCGTACACTCGTCATCTTCCTCACTACTCATGTGTCTAATATCAATCATTCCCCAATGCAAAGTGGTGACGTTTGCTGTTCCCATAGGGGGTAGCATATTTTCTTTGCGAGAATGATGACGACTCATGCCAATATCGATTCCAAAGGAGGTAACCGAGCTAGTGTTATAAATTTCTACCGATATTTTGATGCTGGCATACTGATATGAGGATAAAGTATAGCTTTATTTTTCGGCTCACCTCGGTCATATCTTCCACGAAACGAATCACGGATGCTATCCCCAAACGCAACATGGGCAATCGATACAGTTTAACAGGAGGCGAGCAAGTGTAAAGGAAAATAATAGTGATAGTGAACCCTGAAAAAATCCAAGCATACTCTCATAATTGCATTCCTTCGACACTTCTGCCCATGCAACATACCAATTTATCTTCATGCGAGAGCATACAACATCCGTAGTATTTTGTGTCTTACCTGGCGTGGAAGCTGCTTCGCGCAAGGCCAAGAAATTAACCATTCATTTATAGGGTATTTATGCAGCTAGGCTTTTTTGAGGGCCTTCTTGTCACTCAGGGACCTAAGGCGGAAAACAAACCGCATTTCTATAGCTACTCTTCTAACCCCCGTTATACCCGCTTCTTACTCGCTCACGAAAACCTTAAGACTATCAGATCCAAATGGAAGCCGACGAGGTAAATCGAGTCCACATCTCGATTTGTCAGAACAGTATTACATCCTCTTCTCACTTGGCTTTTATGTCTCCATGGACATAAAAGCCTCACAGTGTCCCCATGGAGTGCTGATGTTGCATTCATGATGCCTCTTCATCGCAGTTGGGCTAAACCAACTTACACCTAACCTGGGTCTTTTTAATGTGGATAAAATGCATTCCACTTTATTTGGTTTGTTCTGTGTACCTGCCAATCTTCCCCTAACTTGCACACGTCGCTCATGCCAATTATGGTAAGCTTACGTAATTTTATCGCGTGGTATTTTTAAATAACTTTCGGACATTTTGTACCTATCGCGGATTCACTTATAACCCATTTCTTCCATATGCTCACTTAGCGAGTATGTATGTCGTCATTTGCGTTTACTTTATTCGATATCGGCATTTCGAATGATTGGCTGTTGTTTGACATCCCAAGTGTGGCTGCGCTTGATGTGCATGTTGACAAGGTGCCTACCTGTCTATTACCCACTACCTCGTCCATCCTGGCTCCAGGAGACAGTTGATCGTTGCTGGAGGGGACGGGGTGCACGGTCCTTGTGGTCGTGCTAGGCTCGAAGAGTGGTTCCATGCACTCAGTGTGGAGCGGACTACGGTCCAGCCACCCCCTTGTGTGCACTTGATTCTCCAAATACAGCGTGCTTGTGTTTTCCTGTGAAGGAATGTGGGCCGGCTCCGTTGATGAAACGTGGCTCCCATACACACGCCTCCCGGTCTTATTCCTTCGGGTTTACACTGGATATGGGGTGTGTGGTTGGAGCTGTGGGTGGTACAGCGCAAGCCATCCGTGATCCCTCTGTAGGCGCAGGCGTCCTGTGGCTGGCCACAGTGACAGGCTAATCCGAAACCGGATGCCGCCATGTCCCCATGGAAGCTGATGATGAACCGGACCCATTATATGCACTACCGCTGGCATTCGTCTTTACACAGTCATGCCTACCTGAGTGTTGTCGTGTATCCATGAAGGACGGTTAGAAAAGCATCACTAGTCTTCATACTCACTTCGCCATGCTTATCATACGGATGTCATGTGTAGGTAAGAGTTGAAGAGCACATGTCATATGGGTCTGACTTTCACAGGTGCATTCCATTTTTCTAACATGTAACTTTTGAGTATACTAAGTTGTAAGCAAATACGCTGCTCACCTCTGGTATCAGGTAGAGGATCTTACGCTACTATCCTCTGTCCCGATGTACAGAAAATGCACCAGCCGGTACCCAGAGGAAATCGTCATCGTGCATGAAATAGCTTGTTCCATACACCCCGCGGAAATGAGTGATAAATCAGCTGACTTATTTTTGAAAATGTCCGTTGAAGATACAAGGGTTGCTCCGAGGTACAGATCTTGCCACATGACTTTAACGTGATTCCACAGTCTAACAGCGACAAAAGTATAACGGAAAGTTTGGAACTTATGGGGTACATTTTGCCTCCGGCCGGTGACCGAAAGAATTACACGACTGTGTTGTAATCCGTAGGGCATCGGTTCGAATCCGAGTAAGGGCGGGTAGTCTCACAACATCCTAGGTCTCGCGTAGCTAATAGTGGTCGCGTAACAGCGAAGCCTACCCACTGAAAATTTCATTGCACCTTTCCTACCCACTTGTTATACATGAAGTACAAACCAATTATTAAAACTCGGTCATATCTCGTGTAATCGAAAATAATATTATAAGCGTGACACCATAACACTTGAAACAAATGGTATGCAATCATCTAAAACAAAATAAATCGCCAGCAGTATGCCGTAACGGCACTTCGATGCCACGCGAGCACCACCAGCCGCGCGTAGGCTGAGTATACCGCGAGGACGCCCACCCCTATGCGGATTCGAACCGGTGATCATATGACTGCAAGCCAGGCATGTAGGCCACTCGGTAACGGACCGACAGTCAGTCAGTAGACGAAATCGGCTATCCCAACCAACTCAAATTGGTGATAGCACCATTAAATCCACTAGGCAACATATATATCGATGTGAACAGCGCAAAGTAAAAGGCCGTCCAGATACAGGAATACTGGTGACACTGTGCAAGATCTTGTAAAGTACGCAGTTTAGTAAGATCTTTGTGTGGGCAGCTGATGGAATCGAAACAATTCAATGGTAGAGAAAGGAATATAGGAATTTGCAGAAGACATAAGAAACGCGAAGCACTGTCCAAACACACACAGCACGGTAACACATAACCAAAGAGATATCCGAAAGATCATTTGAATTTGATACCATCGGCGCGGGGATACGACAGTCCGTCAGTGGACAAGGGTGACTGACTGAACGGTACGAAAACGGCTCGGAACCAGTTCGCACCCAAAAACTGTTTTACATTCTCTCGCAATCCCAGATTGTAGATGTCTGTTGAGGGATAGGTGGAGTCCAGTGAACCAACAGCATCGGTAGCCATACAGCGACTGACCCGATCATACATCGTTTGATTTCGAGCCATCAAAAGCATATGGTAGATGAGGAAGCAACATTGAAAGCAAGTAAAAAGCAGACACGAGGATGTCAAAGAGAAGAAGCCACACTGCCAAAGAGTGGCCTGACGAAGAATCCACATAAGGCCGGGGGGAGAGAACAAGCACAGAAGGCGAAAGCCGGTGGACCAGTTTTCCGGTAGAAAGTAGGGGCCAAACACGAAGCGCATGTGAAAATAGGTTGCCAATGAGCCGCCAAAGGCGCCAAAATAAAGCATTGAGAAGAAGAAACGCCAGTTAGTGAAGCCGACGCATTGAGCTGCGGAAAAAAGTTGGATGGAAGATACAAGAGTTGAGTGCACAATCATTTAAGCCTCTCGATTCAACGGTAACAAATTCCCAACAGGATATGAGAACAAAAGGCAGTTAACAAGTAACGTAGTTTATACTATACTAATCCGGCCAATTTAAGTTATTTCAAACGCTCGATAATCTTTCCAACTGGAGACCACATGAAGTGTTGCTCGGGGTGCACAGCTAAGGAAAGAAAAAGCAACCAGCATATATGAATGTGTAAAGAGAGGACTGGAGACATGAGAAAATATACTTGTGTGGTCAGTGCTCATTCACGTGCGTGACGAGAACCACAGCAGGTTGAAGGCCAAAACGTCAACATGGAATGCGTTGATGCGTGAAGCTAGGTATGTAAGGTGAGAACGAAAACCGATTAAACGGGCGACGAAAAGCAAAGTGATGATGCAAAGAACCGAATTAATTTATGGGAGTATTTTTCTAGGTTGGAGGCTTCAAGAACAAGATGAGCGTATCGATATTACGCAAAACTATCCAAAGAAATTTGATGTCTTGAATAAATCTAGGATTTGTATCGTATAAAATGGCAATGCAAAACCAACATGGCGCGTAAATGAACGTTTCAGTGTGCAGTCACACGGTTTGAGAAAGGTCTGATCAAGAAGGAACCACCATAACACGAGTGACCGAAAAAGGTCCGCTGGGGCGACCGTTAGAGCACACTGAGTGCTCGTTCTTTTGTGCTCCTGACCGTCGAAATGAGATGCACATGGAACGAATTACGGTCACTAATAAAAAATCTTTACAGCACAACCTTGGTATGCCATGGTATGTATGTAATTTGCCTGGTAGCAAATACCGTCCACACACAGCTGAAATTGATATACAAAGCGTAACAACGTGGTATTGAAAATGTAATGATGTAAGGCATACTAGTCGCAGATGTGTATCTGGGACAGATAAAATCACAGAAAACGGTCACACACAGGCAGACTACAGGTGATTCACGCAATATAATGTTTAGACATACTGTGTCATTTCTACTTTTCTTTTTCTTTCTATGAGTGACAAAAACACGCCCAACTGGTATGGCTGGCCGTCTATCTGTGCCAACAAAGAAACAAGCTGGAATCATTGAAAATTTCCAATGACTTGTATGCGCAGCAACGAAACGTATTTGTATATTGAAAAGGGTGAATTATATCAGGAACCAAGGTCATACCTAGTTCGACACTTCATGTAGATGTGGATGAAGTGGGGAATGGAACCCAACACATGGAAGTTGATCGCTGATTGCATGATCAGTAGGCAAGTGAACCTAACAACTTACTTAGGGTTTGCCAAACCGCTACATAACCAGGGTACCTGACCAACACTAATAAAAAGGATCAAAATAGGACGCACAAAACGGGAGAAAAGATAGGAGGCAGACTGACAAGCAGGAGGCAAAAATCAAAAACTACGGATATAACACGAAAGCAGCATAGATTCGATCACTGCGCCCTGTCCACTACGAGTTCTAGTCACTAAGATGATCAGATCCGAGGCTCGAATCCAAGAAGACAACGCACGTTCGACTGAGTTAGTCTTTCATTGAGCAAATTCATGCGCTGATAAGCAGACAGGTCGCTTCGGAGTTTCACGCATCTAGACGTGGTATAGGCGCAAATTAGGTGAAAAAGTTTGTAGAATTTGCCCACTAGTCCTGCCTCCACCATTTTTTGTCCTTTGAGTCTACATGGTATCCTTGTCGGCTTGCGAGCTCCGTTCCATGTGTCACTTGATCAATGTGTGTCCAAATCTGCAGACTTTTGTTCTAATGTCCAGAGGAGTCATTGGGCTTTCGGAAACCTAATGTCTTATATGTCAGCGAGCTATGGTGCCGTAGCTAGCAGTTCAAGTGCCACACAGAGATTGATCTCACCGAAGATATTGATCATCGGTGAAACCAGGCGAGGAAATAGCGCACAATACAGACGTACTACTCGTATGTCGAACGCCTTAATCGCGAATCGAAAGGATCATTTGTTATGCTGACTATCCAAAGCCGGAAAAACAAGTGGATGATAACACGGTTAGAAATGGCGCGTGTTCCAAAACAAGCTGGTCAGTGATGAAGCTACACTACCTAAGGCTTATGATGACTTGGTCCATTTGAACCCACGTTGCTCATCAATCAAAGGACACTAAGTGGCACTTGGTGATGTTTAGAAGCAATAGGTGGTTGGTGCACAATTTCAATAGGGCTCATCGTTAGTGTGGTAGAAAGTACAACTGAACCTCCGACCGGACACCCTTGCACAGATCAGTTACTCGTGCATGTACAACAATCTGGATTATACACGACATGCAGACAACTTGAACGAAGAATGGTGCCCAATTCTAACCTAGAGTAAAGGTGTCAACTGGATTGATGGTGGTCAGCGGTTTATGGGAATCAGAGCAGCCAGCGATGATCCAGCCCTGAAGTGGAGCAAAATGACCGCGTCAGAGTGACCTGTGGTATGCAAATCAGCATCTCCGGATGCGTGCAATCAGAAGACGACAAAAGATCGGTCTGAAGCGGTCAGGTGGATGAGCAGTTGAGGGGCATGAACCTGTTTCGGAACACTCAGAAAGTACCAACACTAAGAGCATCTACTGTGCGTGAAAATGTTGGCACTGACGCAGTCAAGAGAACCGTGGTCTGATAACGGGTGACAATCGGGAAAGAATATTGATCGCCGCAACTACGTAGACGTAGATAGCACAAATGCAGCAGCGCTGCAATGGACATTCATTGCCACAGGGAATACGGAGGAATTGTGACAGGATTAAAAGTGCAAGAAAAACTTGTGAAAAAGAGAGAAATCAAGCGGTAGATAAGGTGATTGAAAACTGTTTGACAACCGATGGAGGATAAGGTTACGACTGTAGAATCTTCTAATGCGGGTCGTCGGCTTTGACAGCTTGGCGAGGACAATCTGTATATACGATTAGTCACAGAGCGTATCGAAAATACTGTAAGCAGTCAGAGCATTAGTCACTATAGACGGGGAACAAATAGACGTTATCAATGGAATCTAGTGCGAGTAGTCACAGACTGGTTAACACGTGAGATACCAACATCACGCCAGTACACCGTACCTACAATTCGCTGACATGTGACCACGGCCAATTGCACGAATGTTGGGTAAATCGCGAGGCCACCAGTACCTACGCGGGTTCGAACCGGGGACCTCAGGATTAAAATGCATGCGCACAAACTGCGCCAATGGCCGACTGTTGATACACTACAAACCTGCAGCGGCGTTTCCATGGAAGAACACAGATTAATTTCTTGTGACCGTAGACTGAGAGTCATTGCTATCTATTGACCGATCCAACACTGAATGCGAAGGTCAAAAAACACCATGTGAATTGGGGTCCTCGGTTTGATAAAAGATTCGGGTACATCAGCACATACAACAAGGTTACTGATAAATGTTTGTTTGTTAGCCGAGGAAGAGAGGAATTGAAATTGACGGGAAAGAAGAATCGGTGACCGAGGTGACAGCTGGGTAATTTAACTCGTAAATTTCCGTCTCCAGAGTACTACTGCTAATACACCATAAGATCTGAGGTACCATTGATGTGGTCTCTGATTATTGGGCTATGCGATATAAGTAACCCCAAATACATCGACAATGTGTCACCAGCAAAGCTCAGTGGATGAAGAACGTAACCAAATTATTCTAGCTAGTTTGTGCCAAGTCGCGATAGGCAAGTACAATCAACAAAGTCAACTACAGCTTGTAAGTCAAGAAAGAGCACAAGGCAGGTGGCCCGTAGGTTGTCGACAAAGATATTGATGGAGATGATCACCCACCATGATAGTACACAAAGACAGACCGAATCATCATGCATGCAGATCAAATGCTGAACTGCAGGATATGGTCTCGGAAGTCAGCTAAGTGTAGAAAAGAACATTTACATTAATATCCATTCGGAAATAATCATCAGGAGTATGAGAAGAAGTTGGATGGTATGAATAGTTCATCATATCTGGACTCAGTCAGAAAGCAGTCACAAGCCGGGACAAGCCCAGTACGGCCGTTTAACCCTTTGGGGAAGCATCGGCAGTGTGCATTCCATCTGACCGCTGAGGCTAGGACCTACAACCCGACCGTTACCAGTCCGTGGTGAAGACAAGTGGGAAATAGGTATGGTAGTGACCGATGTGACTAGGTTGCTATCTACGGACTTCACATTACCGCCGTACAGAAGACAGTGTAGCCCATCAAAAAGCGACAAACTTATCATAAGCAGCCAAATAACTTACGACGTTATAAGCAGTTTGGTCTGCGTACTAATTACAAGGGAGTGGTAGGGCAGTTGAGTGGCACAGATAGAATTTCATCACATCAGCAAACGCAGCTGCTCGACTTGGCGTCACATTATGGAGCTACCTAGTTACCGTAAAGTTTGTGAGAAGAACATCCTCCACGTAAGTGCAACACGCATACGGACGGCCCACTAACTGATTATTTGAAGGTTTTCGCCGTGATGAGTTACATAATCGGCAAAAAAATTAGACGAGGAAAGGAGAACGAAAACGGGGTGGTGGACAGACCTTGGTGGAATTTTTAAGTCTAAGCACAGCCAGTTATCCAGCACAACCATGCGAGTGTTATGCATTTGCTTTGATTAGACTCCAGATGAAACGCGTTACACAGCTGATGCGAACCAGTGGAATGGCTGCTGACTTCACGACAATGTGACTAGCCGCGATACCCCCGGCGTTCATGTGGATAAACCAGTGGTCCAATGCTATAGCTACATGCTATCGCATAAATGCACATCTATCTAACATAGGGAGTCAGATGGCGTTAAAATAGATCAGTCACAGATAAAATGTTGATACAAATGTTTGCAGAATGTAGAAACTCGTCGTCGTTTGAGGTGGAAAGCATCGATTCGAGTAGCAGTACCTCTAGTGAATAAAGTGATATCACAATGCAACAGGTTCGGATCACTAGCAAAAAAGCA